TGTTATAAAAGTAAATACTTAAACAAACGAGATTGACATAATGGTTTCTTATACAATTCTAGGTACCTATACATGATTAACTACAAAAACTTCGGTTCTTTTAAAAATAAGATTCTCCCTAAATATATAAAAATGCAGTATGCAATTTTCATTAATAACATAATGAACATTTCTAATTATCAGGCGATTACAATGAAAATTATGCATATTGTGTTATGCAACCTTCAATACAAGGAACATTTGGGGGTTATCTGCTTAATTGCAAATTTGTTACCGAATTTTCCATAATATGATGGTAATGCATTATATTTAAAGTTTTTGATGTACATGGTTTAAAATGCTTAAGATTGATCTTGAACTCATGAAGAACAAAAAAGTTAAAATTACTATTAAAAAACAAAATTTACCTACTAATACGGAACAATGACTTTTTATTAATGTGATTTATTAAAAAGAATATTAACAATCTGGTTATTTTATGATTTGTATATTGGGTATCATTTGGGAACATTAAAAAATGACAGAAGACAGTGGCGTCTACTTAACGTTATTCAGAGGTATTAATTATTAATTTTTTAATGCAAATGTTCCAAATTTAACCATAACAAAGACGTATCTCATCGGGTTTTAAGGTCAATATCAAAAAGGAATATGGGAAAAATTATTGTTTCATTCGAACAGCTCTAACTTTGTTCAATTTGGTCTTAGGAAATTCTGCTAAATGTCATTTTGTAGAGAATAAAATTCTAACAACCAACTTTACGAACTTTCTATCTTTTGAAATATAAGCATTAGAAATTAAAAATTAGGCAACATAACAATTACGCATTAAAAGTCCTTCATTCAAATAGTTCAACTTTGCAGGATTTAAACTTAAGAAAGTTTACTAAAGGCAACTTCGTAGGGAATTAAATTCTCTACAAAATTATTTAGATAGCTGATTTTAGGTATACTACAGTTTTTGAGATATAAGATTTCGAAATGAAAAATTAGGCAAACTAGTGATTAAACATCAGAAGACTGTTTCATTCAAATAGCTTTAACTTTGATGAACTTGTCTTAGGAAACTTTACCGTAGGTTGTATTTGGAGAGAAACTAAATCTCTACAAAATTGTTCTAAAAGTCAATGTTATAAACTCCACAGTTTTTGAGATATTAGCTTTGAAAATAAAGTATTGGGCAAAACCATTACTTCATTCAGATAGCTCTAACTTTGCTAAATTTAGATCTCAAAATTCTAGGGAAATTGAATTCTGTAGAAAATTGCCCCAAAAGTAAACTTTGTAGTTGCTGACTTATCGTTTAAAAATAAGGCAAAAAAAATTAGGCAAAATTATGATTAAAAATCATTACTTACACGATGCCCTGTGGAATTGAAATAAAAGAAACACTTTTAACCAAGATTTCACAAATACGTTTAAAAACTAAAACACGTTTCGACATCCAAGGTGTCATCTTCATACTCTTATTTTTTTTTTCTCTAATTTTGTAGAACCAAATTGAATGAAACAATATTGTTCCCATCTTGTTTTCTTATAAATGTCGCGTTAGTATGAAGATTACTTGTCATATACAAGGTGTATTTATAGTACAGATAATACTCTTAGTAAGTGACTATGAAGTTCTGAAACTCACCTATGGAAATTGGTGAAAAGCCGTCTTTCACTTTTATGAATGAACTGTTCCACTTTGTTCTGTAAATAAGTAATGTTAATAAAAATGAAGAAATTAAAAACCGAAAAAATATCTTAACAGAATTGGACTAAACTATATTTCATACATAGTGGATGTTTTAGTTTTAGGAGAAAGAAAAGATTAGAGTAGGGAAATAGAATGCGCTATTTAATTCAATAAGGAAAAGGGGAGGACTAGTTTGAGAAATATTAGGAAGAAACAGGGGTAAAAAGGCGCAAATAGTTAGAAATGTGGGATGTTGTAGGTTTCTCGCATCACATTAATTTCATAAAATAATTCGAAGTGGTCTGTATTCTGTCGAAACTGCCAGACGCGGATCGCGATTTCGATCTTTTTGGATCTCATCAGCGCGTCGCAGGCAGCTCCGACAGAACACAGACCAACTTTTACCT